TTTTTTTTTTTTTTTTTCAAAGTTTCCATTTTATCGATTAATTTATTTTTTTCCTTTCGGCCATTTTAAAAAAAAAAAAAAAAATAGATTTCGGTGAAAATCCAATCAATGAAAATCCATTTATATTAACCATACATTTTATTTGGTTACGATGGCATAATTTAATTGCCGAAATGATTTATCAAAAAAATCCCAAACTTTCCGATCAAATGATTTATATGGAAGCAAGAAAATATACCATTGCTACTATGCAACATATTGTATTCAATGAATGGTTACCATCATTTTTAGGTGAAACATTACCCGAATATCATGGTTATGATCCAATGATTGATCCACAAATTAATGATTTATTTGAAATTCTTTCCAATGCATATCTTTATACGTTAATATCACCATCAGTATTCAAGTTGAGTACAGAATGTTCGAAAAATTTTCGTTATTCTATCCTGCGTACTTGTAATACCTATTTCGATCCAATAAACTATTTGGTTCGTGATGGTTTTGAAAAAATTCTTATCGGTTTATTATTACAAAGTTCACAACGTGATGATCATTTTATTGTTGAAGATATTTTACATTATGCAAAAGGTATTGGTGCTGATTTTACTAGACAAAATCTAGTTGCCATTTTATTACAATATTCAAGAGATTTTCAACAACCAGATTATCTAACAGTACGAAAAACAATCGGTCTAGATTCAAATATTACATATGGATCATTTCGACAATTATTACGTTCACAATGGTCATATTCAATGCGTATCAATCATCGTTTGGAAATAATCTTATCAAAATTATATCAGAATATTCAAAATATTGATCTGATTGTTGGTGCATTATTAGAAAATAATGGTAAACAACCAGGTTCGATGATAAAATATTTTTTTCTTGAACAATTTTTACGTTTACGTAATGGTGATCGATTTTATTTTGAAAATTTGAATTCAAATCAATTTGATTCATATCAAATTAAAATGATAAAATCAATCAAATTTTCCGATATAATTAAATCAATAACCAATGTTAATGATGAATTAATACAATCAGATGCATTTAAATTACCAAATGAAGATCAAAACCGAATATCGGAAAAATGTTTTGAAAGTTTACGTAAATTATTACGTATTTATCCATGTGAAATTTCGGATAAAACAACCAAATGTTTAACATTATCAACATTTCAGACATTTGTTTCGATGGAAAATTGTACAAAAGGACAATGTTATGATTATTTTAATGGTAGTGAATTATCATTCGTGGTTACCATTCTACTGATACCATTATTCATAATAATATTGGTTATAATATTGAAATTATTAGTTTACATGCGGCATCATAAATCCGAATGTCAACGTATAAAAGTATCAAAATTACGACGAATGACAATCAATAATGATGATAATACAATGGTACAAGAATGGTTAGGTAATAATGATGGTTATCGTAATACAATTATATCGTTGAATTCAAAATCACGTTCAATCATTGTACGTTTACCATATGAATCACGTATTGTACGTTGTATTTATTTAAAAAATAATTCTATTGGTAAAATATCTATTGAATTAAGTTTAAATAATAATCAAAATTATATGCTAATACGTTTTCCAAAAGAATATGATCTGGTTTTGAAATTTGATTCATATTATGATCGTGAAAAATTCTTAACAAAATTGGAAGGATTTTTAAATGAAATTCATTATCAAATGGAAAGAACCAATAAAGAGCTGAGATTTATATTCAAATCAGCATATACTCGTAATAAACGACAAAAACATTTGGAAAAATTTTTTCGTGTTATATTTTCACAAGCATTTAATCAAAAAATGGATAAAAAACAGCTAGATATGAAAACGGCTAAAGAAATTATTGAAACCGAATTAACTGAATTTGAATTTGCTGAAGTATTATCAATGCGTCCGGATGCAACATTTGTTCGACAAATGTTTCGTTTAATTGATTCGGATAATAATGGTTATATATCATTTCGTGAATTTCTTGATGTTATTATTATATTTGCAAAAGGTTCAGCGGAACAAAAAATTCGTATAATGTTCGATATGTATGATGTTAATCAAACTGGTCGTTTATCAATGGATGATTTTAGTTCAATGATAAAATCATTATTGGAAATTGCAAATCAAAGTGTATCACCAAAAGAAATGCAACAAACAATTCAATCAATGTTAATTGAAAATGGTTTTAATTCAAAAAAAGAACTAACATTTGATGATTTTAGCCGTTTATTTCATAATTATAAAGATGAATTAGGTTATACGGAATTGAATTTTGATCTATCCAATTTGGATAAATTACCAACATCATCAACAACAACACAAACAACAACAACAAAACGAAAAAGTAAAATAAATCGTGCAAATGATACAATTGTTCGTAGTTATTTTGGTGGTAACCAGAAGAATAATATTGTACCGGATTTTACCAAACAAGCACCAACATTTTTAAAAATTGAAACACAAGAACCAAAACTATCATCCGAACCAGAATGGTTAATAACATGGATTCGTTTTTTGGATGCAAGGAAAAAAGAAATTTTTTTCCTGATTTTCTTTAATCTTATTGTTTTGATCATTTTCCTGGATAAAGCTTATTATTATATTGAATTGAATGAATCATCTGGTTTACGACAAATAGCCGGTTTTGGTATACCATTAACACGTGGATCGGCAAGTGTTATAATGTTTGTTTATTCCGCAATCCTTTTAACAATGTGTCGTAATATTATAACCGTTATACGTGAAACATTTCTTCATCATTATATACCATTTGATTCGGTTGTTTCATTTCATAAATATTTAGCATTCATTGGTTTTATAATGGCAATCATACATTCATTTGGTCATTTAAGTAATTTTTATCATATATCAACACAACGACCACAGGATTTGAATTGTATTTTGTCCGAAACTTATTTTTCGTATGTATTTTTTGAATCATTTTTCACTTTGAAATCTTTGTTTCTCTTTTCGTCTGATTCACAGATCAAATGAAATGCCAAAATTTTATCATTGGGCATTCGGTACAATTACCGGTGTAACGGGTTTCAGTTTATTAGCCATATTATTCATTATCTATATATTTGCAATACCATATTCAAGACGTCATATATTCAATGCATTTTGGTTAACACATAGTTTGTATCCATTATTTTATCTATTAATGGTATTACATGGTTTAGGTAGATTAGTACAGCCACCAATTTTTTATTATTATTTTATCATACCTTTGGTAAGTTATCTGTTGTTTTCTTCATTTGAATTTTGAATTTTTTCTTACTTCCGAAACAGACATTATTTACAATTGATCGTTTGATTAGTGCAAGTCGAAAAAAGATTGAAATATCGGTTGTCAAAGCAACTCTTCATCCATCCAATGTTACATATTTAGAATTTAAAAAACCACCAAATTTTGATTATAAAAGTGGTCAATGGTTACGTATTGCATGTCTTGGTTTGAATCCAAGTGAATATCATCCATTTACAATTGCATCAGCACCACATGAATCATCATTATCATTATATATACGGGCTGTTGGTCCATTTACCAAAAATATTCGTCAAATGTATGATCATAATCAATTGAATGGTCGTCCTTATCCGAAATTATATCTGGATGGACCATATGGTGAAGGCCACCAGGATTGGTTTCGTTTTGATGTTTCAATATTGATTGGTGGTGGTATCGGTATTACACCGTTTGCATCAATCATCAAAGATATTACATTTCGTTCAAGTATTAATGCAAAAATTAATTGTAAAAAAGTTTATTTCATATGGGTAACTCGTACACAAAAACATTTTGAATGGATGTCTGATGTTATTCGGGAAGCAGAGGAAAAAGATTCAAATAATTTATTGGTTACACATATTTTCATAACACAATTTTATGAAAAATTTGATCTTCGAACAACAATGTTGGTAAGATATCAATGTTTTCAATGTCTTTTTCTTCGAATAAATCCATTTTTTTTCTCCTGAATTTCAAAGTATATTTGTGAACGACATTTTCAACGTATTTCAAACAAAAGTCTTTTTACCGGACTACAAGCTAAAACACATTTTGGACGACCAAATTTTAAAGTTTTTTTTGAATCATTACAATATGAACATCGAAATGTAAATTAATTTTCTTCTAAATTCAATTGATACTAACCGTTTTTTCTGTTTCCCGTTTTTTTCCGGGTTATCCAAAGGTGGAACGTGTCGGGGTTTTTAGTTGTGGACCAAATCCAATGACAAATAGTGTACAACAAGCATGTGATCAATTAAATCGTAAAGAAGGTATTATATTTAAACATCATTTTGAAAATTTTTGAAACATCCTCCTTCCTCAACCACCACCTCCCAAATAAATCTGTTGATTCGAATCGGAATTAATCATCATCAACAACGATCAAAGAATTTTTTTTTGAAATAATGATGTAATGTATAGCAGAAAATGATGAAATAAATGAATTTTAGTCCAAAAGTTTTTTCCTAAGAATTTGATTTTTCTAATTTCTTTTCGGTCAATGATGCAATGCATTGATAATTTTTTTTTTTTTTTTTTGAATCGCGGTTGGTAACAATGCGCGCATACAGAAAATGTGTATCAAAAAAAATTTTTTTTCGAATCAGACATGCGTGAATCCTTTTCTCTTTTTTTCTTTTTTCTAAAATGCATGCATGTGCCATGCATAATGTTGTCGATGGCGAAATATCGATAAACGTTTCATCAACGTCGTCGTTGGTTGGTTGTTGTGTGTGTGGTGTGTGAAGATATCGCGAGCCGCTAAAGAAAAAGAAAAGTAAAAGCAAGAAAGAAGAAAAGAGGGGGTGGTATACCTTGTCATTCATTCGAAGTCATTGGTTTGGTTTGGTTTGGGTTTCATCATCGTCGTCGTTTGGTGTTTCTTGAAGATCGATTCCATTGTGATAAAGATATTTGGTTGGGTCTGTTGTGATCTTTTAAATTTTGATAGATTTTTTTAGTTTGTGATTAAAAAAAAGTAATCATCATTGATAACATTCTGGAATCGATCGAAGAAGAATCATCCTTATCAATTGAAACAATATTTGAAACAATATTATCACCGGCATCAATAATGGCTATTGAACAATCATTAGTTGAAATTAATTTTAATAAAGATAATGAATCGGATGATGATGATTTATTGTTGAATGCACCGACACCTGCAATTAATCATCAAGATTTTGATGATCAAATAGATCAATTTTTATTAAATTCATCATTATCATCATCATCATCAACAACAACAATTATTCCTGAAACATTGACAGATTGGAATGGTAATGTAACATTTGATGAATCTTTATTGCCACAACAATCCTCATCCTCATCATCATTATTTTTGTTTGATGATAATTTAGATCTGACTAATTTATCAAATATGGATTCAACCATTTATCAACAGCATCAAATTGAATTTGTTGATCAATCCGGAAATATTGATCAACAACAAATTTATGGCTCAATGATGAAAACTGAACAAGAAATCCCAGCAACAACAACAACAATGGCTAATGTTGAATTTTATAATGGTGTTAGCGGTGGTGGTCATAATGATAATTATCAAGAACAAACACTTGTTACATCAATCTATCCAAACATTATAAATGATGAAAATTTTTCATTCGAACGTAATGTACAATTTGTTGAAAATATTGCTCATCAATTACAACAAAATGATGATAATGGTGGTGTTGGTAGTGGTGATATTAATAATGGTCAATTTAATGTTGATGATGATATTCTTTCACAATATTCATTATCATCAACAATATTGTCGAATAATCAACAACAACAAAATGATCAACAATCAATTATTAGTTCAAATAATGGAAAACGATCAAAAAAATCTGGTAAAGATAATAATCGAATGGTATGCATGAATGCAAATGCAATTGCTGCACGGCAAAATCGTGCCAAAAAGAAAAATGAAATGCAAGCATTAATCGATAGAAATCAGGAATTGGAACAGAAAAATTCACAATTAAAAAATTTATATGATAAAATGGCCGATTTATTGGATATGACCAGAAAACGACAAGAATATTTAGAATCAATTGTTAAACAAACACCACAAATACTTGAATTAATTCAACATATGAAAAAATTACCTACAATTAAATTGAATAGTGTTAATTTGCAGAGTTTCGATCCACCACAATCAACAACAACGTCGTCGTCGTCGTCGTCGTCGTCGACAATTATTGATGAAACAAATGGTTATTTGGCTAAAAAACGATTAAAATCATCATCAACAACAACAACAAAAATTGATGGAAATAATAACAGTATTGTTACAAATAATGGTAATATTCATGGTCATTATCATTATCATCAACATAATTATCATAATAAAGATAATCATCATACAAATGCTGGTATTTGTTTTCATTTAAAACCAAATCGTGAAATGTCATTAGAATTTTGTCATAATTGTTCAGCCGGTAGTAATAATTATAATAACGGTGGTGGTGGTGGTACAACCGGTGTTGTTGGTGGTGGTAAAACGATGATGATGAAAAAAAGTTAATTTTTTGGTTTTTGGATTCAATCACGTTTTAAGTTTCTCATTTTTTTTTTTTTTTGATTTATAATTTATAATTTTATTTTGAATTTCATATGATTTTTATTTTTATTTTTTGTCATTAGTTTTTACTCAACCTTTCAACTACACTCACTCACTCATTCTACAAATCTTGATTTTTAATTTAAATTTTCATCATTCATTCATTCATCATTTTAAATTGATTATGTATTTTGATATTCATTCAATGCCTTGATGTTTTCTTTCAATCATTTTTTCACTTTGTTGCATTTTTTTCGAAATAAAAAAAAAAGAAAATTTTTTTTTAAATTTTAATTTTTCAAAGTTTTTTTTGTTTTGTTTCTAAAGAATAAAATTAATCGATTATTTTAGGGTCATTACAATCGATATATCGGTCCCATTAATAATCGAAGGAATTTTTTTTCATTTGTTCGAATTGGATTTAGAAAAAGGAGAAAAAAAAAGTTCGAATTCATTTTAGTTTTGTTGTAAATGTTGTATGTTGTTTGGTTATTATTTACGATCATTTTGGATTTATTATTTTTCTGTGATAAGCGTGTTTTCCTTTGTTTTTTTTTTTTGATATTTTTTATTCATTATTCTGGATCTGAATTAGATTTCGATTTGGTAAATTAATTCTGTAGAAAATCTAAAGAAAAGTGTAAAAGTCATGAGTCATCATCGATATGATCATTCATCATCATCGCCAACATTTTCAACAAAACCAAATCGATCTTTATTCATAAAACGTGTTCCATTTCAAACAAGGTATCATTTCTTTTTGTTTGTTTTTTGTTTATCTTTTAATGTTTTTGTTTTCTTTTTTCTTGGATCATATCATTCCAATTTGATTGATAATCAAAGATGTCAAGATTTACGTTCAATTTTTGAAGAATTTGGTTCAATTAAAGATGTTTATATACCAAGAGATTATTATACGGGAAGAATTCGTGGTTTTGCCTATGTTGAATATCCTTTTCTCATGAACTTTTTCTTTGTTTTTTTTTGATCAATATTTTTTCCCTTTTCACATTTATTTTCCTTAACTATGATTGTTTTTCCATGTCCTTTCTTTATTTACATTTGAAAGAATTAAGGATGCAGAATATGCAATGCGAAAATTGAAACATGTTCGTTTATGGGGCCATGAATTACAAGTAGAATTTGCACAAGGAGATCGAAAAAGTAATGTTTGTTTTTTTATTTGAAAAAAAGAATTTAATCAAAAAAAAACAAAAAAAGATTAATCAATTTCGAAATATATATTTTTTCATGACATTAATCATTTGGAATTCGTTATAAACAAAAGCTCCAACAGAGATGCGAATACGTAATAAACATGATAATGGAAAACGTTCATCGATTTCTCGTGATTATCGTACGGAAAGGTAAATGAATTCCGAATTCTATGACAAAATGATAATTGAATTTTTTTTTTTTGAAACCAAATAGAAATTATCATCGTCGTAATCGTTCAAGATCACCAAGTCATCATAATCATCATCATCATCATCAAAAAAGGCGATCATTTAGTCGTTCAAGATCTCGTTCACCACCGTTACCACCGCCGCAACAATCATCATCATCATCATTTAAAACATATAGACCAACAAGTCCAAAGCCAAGCTATGATCCAAGACTTTTTCTTTGAAAATTTTATGTTTTTTTTCAGAAAAAAAGTCCATAACAATTTTCTTATAAAATAAACAAAATTAGAAATTTTAAAAAATAATAAAGATGATTTAATAATAATAATCGCGATGATGAAATAATTTGAAAAAAAAAATTTTGGAACGTTGTTTATGAACAATATCATCGATTCACTGTTATGGATTTTTCAACGAACGTAAAATGATTGAGAGAGAGAGAGAAAGAGATGTCAGAATAGAATTAATGTAAATTTTTTTTTTGCCACCACAACACACATAATTTCGGCATAAAAACTCGCGGTTATTGATTTAATTTTCGTTTCGTTTTTTGAACCAAAAAAAAACTTGTGCATTTTAATAATCTTGTTGTAAAATATTGAAACTAGAATGTCTGAAATGATTAACGAAAATGATAATAATGACAATGGTGGTGGTGATGAACAACAATTTCAAACATTATCCGATACATTAATCGAACAATTGGATAAATGGGAATATAATGATAAAAATAATCATCATCATCCATCAACAAATGTTGGTCGTATATCATTATATAGACAATTTGATCCATTAGTTGGTACACCGATTAAAATCGAATCATCATCATCATCAGTATCGAATAATAATGATGTTCCAATTGTTAATGATAATGTTATTGTTATCAACAACAACAATGATGATATTCACAATGGTAACAATAAAATTGATGATAATAAGATTCTTAATGGTAACAACAACAACAACAATATTGTTGTTGATGATGATGATGTTCATAATCAAACATTTATCAAAGATGAAACAGATATCGATGAACAAGAACAACAACAATTCGAACAATTGGAACAAGAAAATGAACATTTAAAATCATTAATGGAACAAATGTTATTGTATAATGAAGAAATTATTAATCGATCAATGGCAAAAATAACTAAACAGAAAAAAGAATCGGATGAAAAAGATGAAGAATTGAAAAAAAATTCAATTATTATTAGCCAATTAGAAGAAGATATTAATGGTATTGAAAAAAATTATTATGAAATACATAGCCGTTATGATGGTTTACGTACATTGGTAAAAGAAATGGATCAACAATTATCACAGAAAAATTCTCGTATAAAAGAATTAAAAGATAAAATAAAAGAAAAAGATGATGATTGTCTGCGATTGAGACAACAGGCTGATGATGCTATCGAAACGTATGTATTTTTCTCTGTTTTTAATCATTATTATTAAATTGTTTTTCTCGAATCTTTACAGAGCTAATCAACGTTTATCAAATAATAATGAAACGGTTAATCTAAAAGCACAGGTAAAAATTCTTGAAATGCGTGTAAATGGTTTACAATCACAGATTGAACAAAAAAATCGTGAAAATGAAGAATTATCTAATATTGTTAATGAATTAATTGCTAATCAAAAATCTTGAATCTTGTGGTAATTTGAAACATTGGATGCCTTGAATAATAATAATAATGATTTTTCAAAATAAAAAAAAAATACTTCAAATACATTCGACCCAGTGGCTTAATTATAAATTATCCGTACCATTCGTATCATGATCATCATCATCGAAAATAAATCTTAAAATAAATTGACCTTGATCATCCATTGTGATAAATTGGAATTTATAAAACAAAAATTTTATATTTATAAAAGAGGGGAGGTGAAGATAATCAAAAAAAAATTGCCATCCTATATTAACCATGTATAATCATCACGATATCAACAAAAATGTCTTAATTATTCTTCCATTTGTGCTGTTGATTTGATTTGATTCAATATTTACCTCATTTTAAATGATTATTGATTAAATAAGATTTTTTTTTTCTAAATAAAGATTTTCAATATCAAACAGAATATATAATTTATTCATTTTTTTTTGTTGTCAAATTTTTGTAAAAGTTCGAAACATATTGAAGAACAGAAAAAAAACATCGATAGAGAGTGAATATGATCAGAAAATAAATAATCCAGATCAACAACAAGAAAATTAAAGAAGGAATGTATCGTTTTGATGATTGATGGTGGTCGTAGTGGTAGTTATCCATTAATTTGATGTAATTAGGCGGCCTTTTATTTATTATTTATTGATTGATTGTTGTTGTTGTTGATACAAAAATCAAATAATCGATTCTTTATTACGTTCATTATCTTCAACACTTGCCATCGAACTATTTGAACTAATAAAACCTAATTGAGCTGCTGAACAAGAATTTGCACTTGCTGCCGAACTAATTTGATGTTCAATTTCGGCCAATCTGAAATCAGAATAATTCAAAATTAAATATTTTCAAATTTCAAGGGGAAAAATCCTGGATAGAAAAAAAAATGTTTTACCTGTTTTCAACTTGCCATTGTTGTTGATTTAATTTCATTGACATTGATGCATTTTCTGTTTCCATTGTTAATAAACGTTCACGTAATCGTTTAATTTCCGATAATAATGCATCCTGTGTTGGAAATTCTATCTGTATATTATTATAAGAACTATTATCATCTGATCCACATAAATTATTATTATTATTATTTGATGATGATGATGGAGGTTGTTGTTGTTGTTGTTGTTGAGTTACGATTTGTCCAGCCAAATTATTGGAAAATATTGGAAGCTGATTTGTCGATGCAGCCGGACTTATTGTACAATATGGTGATGGTGATGTATTAAAATGATGATGATGATGTGGATGATGTGGATGCTGAGCTTGAAGAAATTGTTGCTGATGTAATGATGATGGTGATATATGATGAGGCATTTGTGGAGATGATGGATAAAAATTATTATTATTATTCGTTGTTTGTTGCATTGTAGACGGTGATGGTGTATGTTGTTGTGATCTTTGATCAAAATTAACTAATGCTACATTCGGACTTAATAAATGTGAATATATTAATGTTTGTGGCGTTTGTTGTTGTTGTTGATGATAATTATTTGTTGTGGCTAATATTGATGGCGATAAAAATGCTGTAGATGTTTGTTGTTGTTGTTGTTGATGTGCTATTGTTTTATTTTGTAAAATTTGATCACAACAATTTTGTTGTGCTATTAATGATTGACCCTGATGATTTTGATGACTATCTTTTGATGATGCTTTCATTGTATCCATACTGCTTGTTGATTCAATTGTTTCATCTAAATTACCATCATCTTGTTGTTGTTTTCCATTAATAATTTTTTCACCATTTATATTCAAATCATCATTTTCATTTTCATCATCTTCAACATCAGCTTTTATTAATGTTGCTGTTGAAGCTGATTGATTTTCTTTCATTGCTTGTAAAATATTTAAATTATTAACAGGTATTTTTCCTTTCGATTCAACTAGACCAGGTGTACTTTTACTTCTTCCCATTGCAACTATTTGGTAATAAGTGTAAAAGTAAGAATCAATTAATTTTCATTATCGAAATAAAATGAATAAAAAAATACTTTTTTTCAATGGTTCTTTACGATATTTTTCCAATCGTTTTACAGCGATTGCTTCCAATCGTACACGAGCAGCTGGATAATCTTTTAATACATCCCACATATCCTGCAAAAAAAAATTTGATTTTTTAGAAAATTTAATTAATGAAAATAAAAAAGTTTTCATTAAAAATAAAATTTACCTGTTTATTCAAACAAAATAGATCCGAATAACCAACTGAACGAACTGATGCTGTACGACGATTACCAGCTGTTCCCATATTCAAAATACTAATTTCACCAAAATAACTACCGGCACGTAATGTTGCTAATACTGTTTTTCCATTATCGGTAACAACTTGTAATCTAAATTTGTTTTAATTAAAAAAAATAATCAATTAATTAATTAATTAATTATAACCTAGAAAATGAAATCTCTATGTTTACCTTCCACGATTAACAATATACATTTCTTTACCAACTTCACCTTTACGACAAATATAATCACCTGGACTAAATAATACTGGACGTAAACGTAATACCAGTTCACAAAGAAATCCTGCTTCAGTATTTTGAAAAATTTCCACACGTTTTAATGTATCCAAATGTACATGAATAGCAATTTCTGCTTTTAATTTATCCGGAAGACAACCAACTGAACGTTCTTCATCCGATGATTTTTGTGTCATCCACAGATAATCAAACCAACGTATCACTTTTGTTTGTATATGATCAGGTACTCTACGCATACGCATATATGTTTTAACAGCATCCAATTTTGCTTAAATTCATTAATAAACAAAAACAAAAACATATTGATTATTTATTGATTGGAAATCATTGATCAATCAATATCCTACCTTGAAATTCTTTACGTGCAGCACTAACATTTGTTACAATATTTGCTACGTGACCAAGTACAGCTTAATTACGTAAAAATAATAATGAATGAAAACATCAATTAGACATCCAAAAGAAACATTAATTGAATATGAACTATTCATACTTGCAAATAGAAAAAGACCAAAAACCAATTGCGAAATTAGGAAAACATATTCACTTTTAGTTCGTGGTGTTGGTAGATCACCTTTGATTTGAAATTGAAATTAATTAGTTTTTTTTTGAAAAAAAAAACAATCAAAAAATTCTAAACATACCGATTGTGGTCAATGCCAATACTGACCAATACATGGCGCTTTAATTGAACAGAAAAAATCGATAAGATTTTTATTTTTGATTCATAAATTTGCATTAAAAAGATACTTACTGAAGATAATCACAAGTAACGCCTTCACAGTCTTTATTTTTTGATCTTGTAAACCAATCACGTGAACCAAAACCATCTTTCATATGTATTATATGACTTAAACATGCATTCCAATGAAATATGGCCAATATATAATGTAATAATGATAATGTGCGAAATATATTTGGATAATTTGTATGCCGTTCAGTACGATCTAAAAATGCCCAAAAACGATAAATTTTTACCAAACGAAAACAACGTAAAATAGATTTAAAACCAATTGATAAATAAAGAAAATCCAATGGTAATAAACAAAGACAATCAATATAGAATATTGTACAATTCATATAATGTTGTCGTAATTTAACACTATCAGTTTGTAAAACACCTTCTTCCAAATAACCGGTACGAAAATTAACCAATATATCTAATATATAGATAAAATCGGCAAAATAATCTAATGCAAACCATGATGCAACAGTTTTTTCATTAATCTCTTGAAATGCACAACGATATATAATTGACCAAAAATTATAAAGAAATGCAATGCTAACAATCAATGACCAATAATAACAAAGTCGTCCGGATGGATCAAATACAAATGACCAATTACAACCGGATTTATGATGTATTGAACCGGTAACATTTTCCCATTTTTCAAATTCTTTTCGTATTTCTTTTCTACGTAATTCACGTGTTTTTTTCGATATTTCTAAATCATTACGATTAATTAAACCGGTTGTCATCTGATGAATGGAACGTTTTTTACTATTATTTTTTCCATTTATAATTGTTGCTGTTGTTGTTGTTGTTGCGTTTGTTGATGATAAAATTGATTGTTTATCTTGTTGTTGATCACAATTAACAGCAATTAATGATTGTTGTGATGGACATCGATCTTTTAGATGATGATGATGATGATGATTATCATCATCATTTGTTTCATCATCATCATCATCATTGTTTCTATTTAAATTATTTGAAGGCTTTCTATAAATGCAAATGAAAAAAATCAGTTTCTTATTATCAAAAAAAAAAGTTTATAATTACAAAAAATAATCTATTACCTATTAGCATTTTGTAATGATGATGTAGTGTTAGTTAATAATTTTGTACGATCAACACCAGCTGTTATAATACCCGGTACAACTCTTGGTCCATTTGCTGTTTGTGAATAATGATGATGACCATCACCATAACGAACACTTTCAGGTGCAGCATTACTACTTATAACGGCAACTTCATCCAAATCATCATCAACTAATTTATTATTATTATTATGACTACTACATGTTGTATATTTTACAATTTTTGATGAATCTTTTGTACTTGAACGTAATGATGATAATGATATTCTTTTTATCATTATTGGATTAATAAGGAAAAATCAGAATCAAAAATCAAATTGAATTATTCAAAAATCAAATCTTGATTATCATCATGAATTGAATTGATTTTTTGAACCAATTTTGCGTGGGGAAAAAAGAAAAGTAAAAAAAACGAAAAAATTAATTTTTTTAATTTAAAAATGTCCATTACACCTGTACAACAAACAAACAACAAAAACGAAAATGAAAAAATGTCAGCTTCACTGCCATAATTCATATTGTTTTTTTTTTTTTTTTTTTTTGATTATAATGGCATGTGGCTTTTCAAAATGTCAAAAAATTTCATTTTAACCCAGTTACACCTTGTCACACACACAGACACACACATGAAATACTTCACACGCGATTCACAAAAAGACAAACAGCCAAAAAACAAAAAAGAACGAATATCAACGACCGATCCAAATCGGTACGAGTAATGAATTTTAATTGTGAAAAAAATTTTTTTTTTCACCTATACAATCTACCTATTGATTATAATAGTTTCAGAGGGGGGAAGGAGGAAAAATTTTTTTAGTAGATAATAACTACTATCAACTACTCTAACCTAACCACAAAATCCAAAGAAAAATGAGATTATATTTTTTCCCCAACCATCCTTTTCGTGTATGAAGAATGAATGAATGATGATAAATTTTTAATGAAAATGACCTGAATGAAAATGTTTCCCTCATCATCATTATACTAAAAGCTTCATGTGATTATTTTATTTTGTTTTTTATTTATTTATTTATTCATTCATGTCTAGGAACAAAAAAAGAATGATTGAAAACAACAACAACAACAACAATAAGAAGGTTTATTGTTGTTGTGAATAATAATGTTGATGTAATCCTTTTCTTTTCTTCTTTTTCTTCTTTTTGTGTTAAACAATTACTACTTTTTTTTCTGCTTATCTTTATCGGGGGTTATTTTTAGTCTTTTTTTTAGTTTTTTGTTTGCTAGTTTTGTTTGAATAGTGGTTGTCAATTACATGTTATAAAATTTTTTTTTTTGTTTTTGTTGTTTTGAATAAATATTTACCGATTGAAATTTTGTTGTTGTTGCTTCGTACATTGATGATGATGAACGTAGATGATAATTTTATCACAAAAAAAAAGAAATGAACAAAATGAACAAAGCAAGAATTTTTTCTGGGAAACAAAAATTCGGAAGTTTTCACATTTTTGTTTTTCCAATAACAAGCTCAGATTTGAAAAATTTACAAACAAGAATTTTAATTAATGTGATTTTCAGGTGAAACCAGAACAAAAACAAAAACAAAGTTAGAAAAAAAAACAATTAAAAAACGACAAATTTTTTTTTTTTGGTTGTCAATTCGAACGAATGTTTTCGAATGTTTTTGGTTTCCTTCGATGATGGATTCGAACAACCAAACCAAACCAAACACACACATACTTTTACATATGCTCAAAATGTTGTTGTTGTTGTTGATCAAGATGAAGAATCTCTCTGGTTTGTTGTTCAATTCTGGTGTTTTTGTTTGTTTGCTGTGAATGGACTATAGTTTTACATTTCGATGATAACATTATGTGTTTGATTTCTTTTTTCTTCGGTTTTTCGTTCGTTTTGCGTTGTGTGTTTTGGCTGTTGTGTGTCAGATTCCGATATATATAGAGATGGAGATGGATCTACGGATATTGGTGAACATAAAATCAATGATGATGATGATGATCTTTCATCTTGCGATACACCTCTTTCGCATTCTGTGTGTCTGCGAATGACTATCATGATGATGATGATGATGAAGAATTGTTCATTTTTTTCTCGTGAAGAAAGATCTATCATTATTCTTGGTGTAGAGAATAAAAATAGTAGAGGTATACCGAAATTATTCCGGTGGTAATTTTATTGTAATGAAAGAGAGAGGTGTGTGTGTATGGGGGTTGAATTTGACCATCTCTCTAAAGACAAACTACTACTACTATCACTATTTTTCTACCACTACTACTATTTATGGCCAGCAGAATATTCTTGTTTTTTTTGACGATTCGAACTATTTATATAGTGAACTATATCGGTTTTTCTGATATCCGAAAATTACCCGAATAAATTCATTTTAAAACCGAAAATGATGATGATGAATGTAAATTATTATTGTAATGTTATCTTTTTTTTTGCATGATAATATCAAATAAATCAATGAAGAAAAAAAAACAGAAGAAAACCCGGGTTTGTTTTACCCGGACACACACAAATGATGATAAACAAGAGATGAATTTAGATTCTCTGTTATGCCCGTGTGTGTTGTGTTGGAATTTTTGTGAAACTCCAGATAATAATAATGTTTTCAGCCAAAATGGCCAAAACGGATTTGTGGATTCGTCATTTGCGTTTTTCGGATTTACTATTTGGCAAGAAATGATTATCGGATCTTTCATCATGTGATTTTCTTTTCATCCAAAAATCTTTTTTTTTCCTTCGAAAATATTATTATAATTCATATTTGGGAAAAAAAAGATTACCAAAAAATGAATATATAATTTGATCGTTGATTTTTGCTTTACACATGATGCTTTGTTGTTGTTGTTGAAAAACTTACCAAAAAACTCAACAAAAAAAAACCTTCATCAACAAACGTAGGCGGAGGGAAACAGAAAAAAAAACGCTCAAAAAAAATTTAATTGTTTTGTTGTTGCTGTTGAATCTTTTTTTTTCGTTTTCTTCAAACAAATAATAATAATATTTATTACTTTTTGTTCGAGTTTTATTTCAATTTAATGATCTCTCTCTCTCTCTCTCTCTCTCTCTCTCTCGACATCATTCGCATCACTTTAATTCATCGAAGAAAACGACAGCATCCATAAACAACAACAACAACAAAATCTTAGGAATTAATCCTTGATTTTGTTTTTTCATCAATAAGATTCATGTGATGATGATGATGATGATGATGAAAACATTAACATTATTTTATTTTTATTCAAAAGGAATTATTTTCATTGAAACATCTTTTCATATCGAGAATCATCATTCGTCATCATCCTGGATGTTATACAAACCAAACAAAGTGACTACCACACACAAACACCCGATGATGATGATGATGATTGAAATTTTTGGAAATCGTTTTAATTCGATTTGAAATTGATTCATTTCGTTGTATATTTCAAACCAAAAACGGATAACCAAATGTGAAATTCGAATCGAATGAAAATAATCTAAACAATAGATTCGATTTATTATTACTTTTCAAGAAAGAGAGAGAGAGAGAGACAAACAAACAAACAAAAGAAAAAAAATTTCTTACCAGAAAAATAGAATCTTTCAAAGATATTGATGATGTAAATCAAAATCATCGAAAAAATCATCAAACGAATCAAATTTCTAATTGAAAAAATTTTATTATTATTTGAATAAATTATAATCAATTTCAGTGTTAAAACATTGTTGTTTTTTGGCTATTTTTTTGGAATATAGGAATTTGTTTTGTTTACAGTGTTTTCAATCTGTCTGTCTGTCTTTCAAAATTTTTTTTCTGCAAATTTAATTTAGTTAATTTTAAAATATCAAGATATTTACAATTCTTTTGTTTTTTTTTTTTTGGTTTATTTGATTATCAAATATATAGAAATGTTAATGTTTACAAACTAAAGCAATTTTTACAAAAATCTTTTATATTCGAATCTTTTTTTTTTTTTGATTGTTGGATTCATTTGGGTTGATATAGATAGATAGGAAGATAGATGGATGGATGGATGGATGGATGGATGGGTAGATTTAGAAAGAATATTTTTTGAAGAAAAAAATCAAAGAAAATATAAAGATTTAGAGAATCGAGATCGATGAATCTGAATTTTTGTTGTTGTTGTTGTTTGATGAGGATTTTCAATTAAATTTTTTTCGATCTAATCAAATCAGTTGCAGCACCTTTATAATATTTTTTTCTTGGTATCGGTGTTGCTGGTAAACTAAAATTATCGGCATTATTTAATTCCTGAAAAAAAATTGAAGAAATTTTAAAATTTTTCAGTTTTTTTTGCATGATATAATATATTTACCGTCAATTCATTGAATGAATTTAAATCATTACTCAAATGTTGTGGTTGTTGATGTGGTTGGCGATGAATTGGTGGATGATGACGATGATGTTGTTGTTGTTGTTGATTACCATTTAAATCATTTCCTTTTGGTGTAAAAAAATTAAAACTAAACACTTTTGATAAACGTGATGGTGATGCAGCTGATGAAATATTATCCAATGATGCTGATAATAGACTAGATGTATTACGACGGAATGATAATTTACGATTTAAACGTTCTTTGGTTCGTTTAAAATATTTTGATTTATCTAATGAACGTGCCAATAATACTAGATGATCAAAATCGATGGCATGAAAATTTCCTTTTTTTAAAAATTGAATATCTTCATCATCATCATCATTATTGTTGTTGTTGTTGTTAACATTATCATCATCAACTAATAATTGCATCGATTGTTCATAAGCAAGAACCAGTTCTTCTATAAATTTATCCTTTTTCATTGAAATATCTTTAACAATGAATGGATATGTATTAAAATAACGTTCCTCGTGTTTGACAAATAGAGCAAATGCATCCAAATAAACTGGATCCAATTCTTTTAAAAAAATGAAGAAAAATTAGTTTTCAAATGGAAAAAATTTCGCAATCAAATTACCTCCTTCATCAAATTCATTGATGATACATTTTAATGATGTTAAATCGATTGTTTCAATAAATCGATATGTTTTTTTAGTTTTTTTCGATGCACTCATCGGTATATTTGCACGATCTTTTAATGATGTTGATCGTGTTACTATACGTTTTTTACAAAGCTATTTTTTCAATCAAATGAAAAATCAATCACTAATGATAAACATGAAGAGAAAAACTTACCAGAATACAATCAGTAAATAATAACAATGTAAATAGGTTATTTTCTAATTTTCTTATAAATTGTTGTTCATAATCATCGATACCATCTTTTTCTAATAATATTTTTACATCACATTTGGCAATAAAATGACGATTAGCTGATAATAATGTAGCCGGGCAATCTTCAATATCATTCATTAATTCAAATAATTCCATTTGTCCTTCAATTTTTTTCTTTCCTAAATTGATTACTCTATATAATCATCAACAAATTTATTAATTTGTAAAAATTATTATTCATTCCATTTTTACTTACTTATTAACCGAAATAATTGTTTCTAAAGCATCATTCAATAGTTTATGATCGGGATGTAGTTCATCCGTACTATTTAACAATGCTAATAGCAGGGAAAAAAATTCATTTTTACAATCAAAAAAAAAATTATCGGGAAAAAAATTACTTACTTCGTAAATATAATTCAATACGAGGCAATCGTTGTATTGGATTGATTAATAATTCTTGAAATGTTTGTTTACGACATTCTTGTGATTCTTGACTAGCCTGTCATATAAAAATGAATGAAACATTGATAAATCCCAATTATAATGATTTTACCTTTAAAAAAGATTTAAATCTAGGATATTTTTTTACACATTGTTCAATCATTTCTTTGGTTTTTTCATAAAAATTTACATATTGAGGATAGACAGTAAGAAAATCTTGTTTATGTTTTTGAAATATTTTCCCGATTTCATTTTCAGCTTTCCAATTTTTTACTACCGGTTCCAATTCATCCAATATTTTTTGATGTACATCGATAATCGGTGGCAAACCACCAAATATTGTTTTCAATTCAATTTCATTTGGTAATTCACCGGGAAATTGATGATTTTTAAGTGGATCGCTGAAAATCTAATAGATTTTTAAAAAAAATCTCATTACAAATATACACAGAGTTTCATCAAACAAACCTTTATAATATCTTTTAAAATTGTTACATAATTATTTTCAGTTTGATATAATTCTTGAGTAATCGCCTGTTTTTTGAGATCATTTTTGTCAGCAGCTTTTTTGTTTTTAGAAATTATAAAAAAATGAAAATGAAAATGAAAAATTCAATGTTTTTAACGAAATAATTACCAATTAATGAAGATTCATCAAATGATTTATCAAAATTTGGACTGGATAATATTGAATTTTTGAATGAACAATCATTTGTCATTAAATTATTAATCAATTTATTTTCATTAAATGGAAGATTTATTAAATATTCATCTTCTGGTTGACGATAATTTGTTTCGATTGATTTGGTTAACCACTATTTATTTAATTGGAAAAAAATCAAATTTTATTACTAAAAACCACAAAAAAAAACAGAAACTTACCGATTCAGAAACAATAAATTTTGGTAAATTTGTATATTGTTCTTGAATATCTTCACAATCAATTTCAGTATGATCATTAATCACTAAATGTGTTGTATTTGATTCACAAAATGATATTGAATAACCACCATATTCAATAATTAATTTTGTTTTTTCTGCAAGTTCTTTTGGTCGAAAATTATATAAAGCAATACGTAAATCTGTAAATGGTTTTAAACGATATTTGGCTAAAATATTTTCATCATTTGGATTAAAATTTATTTCACGTCTATTTTGCCAAACATGATCAATCCATTCTTTACAAAGAATTGGTAAATTATATATTACAGCCAACTAGATTTTTAAAAGAAAAATGTGAATTACAAACAATCAATTCTCTTTCTCCTGGATTATACATTACATTATAATTATCCGAATCAGTTTTTGATTCAATCAAATGTGTACGTTCAAATGATCGACCACTTTTCATATCTTTACGACTTTGGCCACCCATATAACGAATCAAATTTAGATAATCATTTGTCATGCGCTAATCGAAAAAATTATATCAGATTAAATGATGATCAAATAAACAAAAAAAGAAAAACTTTACCGTTTTATGTTTATCATGAACAGAAAAACAGATGACAAAATCTTTCATAAAATAATTATACAATGGATTTTTTGGTATTGGAAGACTCTGTTTTTGTTTCATTGGATATAAAGAATTCAATTTTGTTGAAAAATTTTTGTTTTTTTGTTAAACAAAAAAAACTTACCTGTCGATTTTCAATACAATATTTAACAACAATATCACTAATAATTGGTTTACGTTGTTGACAAAGATGTTGAAATAATGGACCTTCAAATGAATTACTTATGTAAAGAATATTTTTCGATGATGGTGATGATTTTGTTTGATTATCATTATTATTATTATTATTATTATTGATCATATCATCATCATTTTGTTGTTTTTGATTATCGTTATTATCATAATTATCATCAACATTATTATTATCATTATTATCGATTATTATTGAATCAATATCCGTTTGAAGTTTAATTTGAAAATCAAAATTCTGTTTACAAAACAAACGAAAGAAATTCAATATAAGAATTCAAATAGAAAAAAATCAAAACACAAACCTCATTGATTGATTGAATAAATTGTTCATTTTCATAAAGATCTTTATCGATAATGATTAAATAATCGAGAACATTTTTTGATTTTTTCGATTTCACTTTTGTTGTTGTTGTTGTCGTTGATGATGATATTGTTGTTGTTGTTGTTGGTGGTGGCTGTGGCGACAACGATGATGATGATGATGATGATGACATTTTCTTTGCTTACAAACAAACAAATCTTTCAAAAAAAACTAAAACAAAAACAAATTTGAAAACAACGAAAAAACAAATTGAGCAATGATCAATGGACGATGATGAAATGGAGAGAAAAACAATGATGATGATGATGATCGCAAAAACCAATCGATTAATCAATCATTTTCTTTGATTGAATTATGGACCCTGATAAACAACAATGATAATAAATTAATTTAAGCAAATTTATTTATGTTTTTTTTCGTAGGAAACGAACGAACAAAAACAAAAAAAAATCAATCAAAAATTTCGAATGTTTATAGACAAAAAACAACAGAAACAGAAAAACATCGACAACAACAAAAAAAGAAAAGATATGATGATTTGTTTGATTGAAAAAAAAAGTTTTTTTTTACAACCAACCAGGATTCATTCAATTACAACAACTACTACCACCACCCGACTACAACAGAGAAAAGATTGTAAAAAATAATAAAAAATTTTTATTTAAAAAAAACTGACTTACTGACTAACTCTGATTCATCATGATGATGTTGATGATGATGATGATCATGACCATGATTAACAATCAACAACAACAACAACAACAAAAATTATATCAAACAACCAAAATCTAATTGAAATGAATGAATAAATTCGCTATATAATCAAAGATGATGAAGAGAGAAAAAAATTAGCAACAGGCGATAGATCTTTAAAATCTTTTTTTTTCAAGTTCTATATAAAAAAAAATCCGACAAACTTGAAATACTTTCTTCATCATCACTAACTCACTAACTTTTTTCAGTGTCATCGAAACTGAAATTTAGAACAAAAAACTGAAAAAAAGAAGAAAATTTACACATGTAACGAAGACGACGATGATGATAATAGCGGCGTAGTATGATCATCATCATCATTACATTATTAGATACAAGGATAAACCGAACAAAGATTTTCTATGATATGAAAGTTGGTTAGATGATGATGATTATCATCATATTCATTCATTTATAGTTACATTGAAAATAAATAAATAAATAGAAAAGAAAATTTCGGAATTTCAATTCTTCACGAATAATTACCGAATATATATCGGTTCTATATGATGAACGAAAATCCCGAAAAAAAGAAGTGGAAAAGAAACTTTTCTTCATTACATTTGGCTTTGATTTTTTCATTTCAAAAAAAAAGATTTCGATGATAATGATGCTAGCTGTTTTGTTTTTTGGGAGGGGAAAGGGGGGAGGATAATAAATTTCTATTTTACAAAAAAAAAAGTTCTTACCATTTAGTTTCGTTGTCAAATATTATTAATTACAAAATGATGATGAAAGATTCGATGATGATGATGGAAAAATAACAAGGTTAATCAACAGAAAAAAAAGAGAGAACCTTGTTGTTGTTGTTGTTAGTAAATTGATTATTTAATGATGAGGATTTAATAATGTTTTTTTTTGTTTGTTTCAGATATCGAAACATTCGAAACAAAAAGCGTTCGAAACAAAAACATTCGAAACAAACAAAAACATTCGAAACAAAAAACGTTCGAAACGATGTTAACACGCACTTGATTGATTTTAAAACGATTTTTCTCGTTAAATGATTTTTTTTTACCTGTGCTGTTTTCGTTGATTTGACCAAAAAAAAAAACAATTGTTGCACCTAATCGAAATTGTTCAACAACACTGAACACTTTACTTGAAATAATAATAAAAAAAAACATTTTGGCGGGTGCGCGCTTATATCAATTTACCCCAAATGTGTTTGTTGTGTTAACATTTCAGCACAGTGTCTCTCTCTCTCTCTCTCTCTCTCTCTCTCTCTCTCTCTCTCCCTCTC